GGTAAGGGGGTATTGGTGGGGAGTGGGGTCGGGGCTAAGGTAGGGAAAGGAATGGGGTGGCTGGCTAGGTTGTTGGGATGGCTGGTTGTGCTTGTGTGGTGGGGGGATGGCTGCCTATCGGCTTCTGATCAGTTGATCAGCAGCCGGTAGGCAGAATGGGCTTCTGTGCCATGTGGTAAACTCTCCTGGGAAGACCCAATTTGTGAGTGAATAACTTGGATGGCTGATATCCAATCTTCACCAAAGTTAGCAGCCATGTTGGGGAAAGACATAGGAAGCTCTGTTGTGATTCAGGACTCTCCAAGTACCGGGGGGGGGGTCCTCTTTGTGAGTATATAACTCAGGGGTCCATGATCCAATGTTTGCAATGTTTTATTCATCCTTCATGATGAAGGACTACAACTCCTTCAGGAGTTGCAGAAAACCATCTGAGGAAGCTTCCCTGCATATTTGGTGTCTCTAGGTGGTTGGGGTCCAGTTTTGAAGCTATTTAAAGCAATGATGAATTGATGGATCAATTTGTCGATTCGTTGAAGTACAGTATATTTGTATCCATTGATCAGTTAACCTTGATGGATCACGAATCAAAATGGATCACCATTTTTTTGTTTGTCCCCATCTCTAATCACTACTGACTGAAACTTCAGAGAATTGCTGCTAGTTGGATAATACTTAGCTATAGACAAATTAATGGTCTGGCCATTGGGCAACCCCTGAAATGTTTGGCCCTGACCCTTGCTTGGTCTCACCTAGTATAAACTGACTTTGGGCATATTTGGAATTAGCCATACATGTATGCAGTGTTGAGCTTCTTCAAGTAATGCAAAATGCACTGCTCAGTAGGGGAGAGAAGTAACAACACACTTTGAAGTATATATATATATATATTTAAGGAGAAATGTTATACTTCAAAGTGTGTTGTTACTTATATATAAGAAAATGGTATGACAGAATCACTAGAGTTTCCTCATCCTGCCTTGCTGTGCCAAAGACACTCTGTTCAGGATCAAGAATGGATCACTGTGTAGAGTACTACGCCAAGTTTCAGTTGACTGTGAATGTTGTTGGCTCTTGGATTGTATTATGATAGAACTGCTGCCAGATCCTTAAGCTTAACAGTGCCATTGGGCTCCTAGTTAAATACAAATGTTTTCTTTCTGTGATTTATGGCATTCTGTCTGTGGATCTTTTATTTTTCTAGGAACTCAGTTTGAAAACTTGAGGCCAAATGCCCCCGACCGTCACACTGATAGGTTATAGTTCTGAGCAAGATATATTGGTCCAAATATTCCATCAGACCAAAGAAAATAGTTTGAAGTTGGCACTGATAAAAGCATGCAGTAGAAATACTGCTGACCCAGGTATGCAGACCGCAGCTTGCTGGAGTTAAGTACAAGACTAAGAAATTGAACAAGTGTTTTTGAGCCTAGATAATTTTATAAAGGTTCTTTTTGAAAACACTGTAACTTTTGCTGCCCAGATAGGCTGAAGTTAGTTCCAAGTTTTACTTGTCTTTAAAAATGAAATGATTGACGACATTCACATATTATTTTATTCTACTGCTCATGAGTAAAGTTCTTTGAGCACTTCATAACACAAAATAGAAATAGGCAGAAATAAAATAAAATCACAGTTAGCTACAAACATTTTACAGAGCAACATTAGTAAATCCTACATGAGAAAAAAGTAACACATTGTGGAGTTAATTACAGGCCAGTCAGTAAATGCTGTCTAAATTAAGACATATTTTGAGAGACGTGTGACAACACAGGTGAACACACACACACACACACACACACACACACACACACACACACACACACACACACACACACACACACACACACACACCATTGGAAGGGAGACAGAAGCAACAATTGTCACTAAAAGATGTGCAGCAACACCTATGGTAGGCAAATTAATAATAATAATAAAAAATCATTTATTATTATTATTTTAAAAATAAAATTATTGAGAAAAGAGGAGAAGAAATAAAAATAAAATAAACTGTAATTAAAGTAAAGTAAATCCACCACTCCAGGGCAGATTTTTGAGAATACTCTGTCAAGAGAGATATTGTCTATGCATGGCTGGGGCTCCTGAATTTTTGTCTCATGTCCTTATATACTGTACAATTTATGCCCAGATATGATGCAGAAGAAAGAATTAATTTCAGAATTTATTTATTTCTTAAAGAATGTATTAAATTGCACCATTTGTCTTTGTTTTATACTGTTTCTAGTAAATTAGAGTAGGTTAAATTCCTGCATGGTATGCTTCTTACCGATAAGCCTCTTTCACCAGGCGTAACTGCCAGTTTGTTAGAAGTACATATTTCTAAGGTTGTCTGTTGAAAGTGATTCTTTATGTGGGTGATATTCAAAATATTTTTCTAGAGAAACAGTCATTTATTAATTCTATTTATTTATATCCTGCCTTTCTCTCAATAAAGGAAGTCAAAGTGGCTTCTAAAATGTTTTAAAGACAAATGGCAAATATTTGAAAGAGAATAAGTCCACACAAACACAAGTAGAAAAATAATGTATGGCCAAGATAAATGACAATTTGATACGATGATAGAGAAAACAGGTAGTTTTGGGCTACTCCTTCAATTCTTCAACACTCAGTTTTCTTTGAACCTCCTGGTAAAGATGATGGGTTGTGTGTGGCACCTCTTCAGTGGGAACCTAAAAGAAAAGCAGAGCAGAGATCCATCTGAGTCCATGGATATTTTCCCCACTTTGTCCCCTGGGCAGTTATGTGTAGAATACCATTGAAACAAGATATCTCAGGCTAGCTGTTCTATTGGTAACAGAACCAAATTGGTTGGAATTAGTCAGCAGATGAGGGCATGACCCCACCTACAAAAAGAAATGCTCTTCTGGTTTTATTTTTTAAAAAAGAGATTTAAAATAAGGTGTTTCCATGCTGTAAACAGAAACATGGATTAATTTTTGAGGGAAACATGTTTTCTGGTTGTAAAGCAATGGAAAATACTGTTCCACCAGATTGTCATTTATTTTAACACATGTTAAAATAACATGTGTTTTCCCCCAATTGATTCTGTACATCTAAGCACCTCTCTCACTACAAACTGCTTCTTTCAGTTACCAGCAGAGTTGGGGACAAGTGGCAGCAGCAACACAAACTGCAGGAAAGGGGGGAAAGAAGGATGGATGGACAGGCGCAGGAAGCCTAAGAGAAAGGGAAGGATGCAGCCAGCCCAATGCAGGGTTGGAGGAGTGAAGAATTTTCTTTGGGCAAAAAAATTGATCAAAGGCACAGATCTTCATGGATCCACATGATTTTTATGTAGGATTATCCCCCCAAACATTTTCAGTCATGGGAATAATCACTGGCAACAGATTGGGCAGATGTTTGGGGATGATCTCAGGTTAAAATCATGTGGATCCATGCGGATCCATGCTTGGATCAATGTTTTTGCACCACTGCAAAGTCTCGCACCCTTCATTTCTGTGGTGTATTCTGTGGGTACAAATGGGAACAACTGGAGCGCTCTCAAAGGGACAGATGCAGCCAAGCTTTCTAAAGGGACAAACCCTCCTTCCCTCCCCTCACCACATCAGCTGGGGTGAGTGGCCAGCAGGAAGGCAGAGCGGGCAAGCCTCAAATGAAACGATTTTAAAAGCCATTGTAGCCCCTTCAACCAAGATACAACACAGTTCTAAAATTTATTAAAGGTTTCTTTCACAAGAAAATGCAGACACCAACTCAAATACCACATGATTTCTAAATTGATTCCATTTAGAATGGAGCTCATTGCAAGGCAGATATAAATGTAGATTAGGCCTTTGTTTGCTTTTGCTGGCTGTTTTCTTACAAAATCAAATGTCCCCTTTAAGAGTAGACTGTGCCTGTTGAAATAACCCTTCTTTCATTTGTTTGTTTGGCTCACTTTTGAATGCTGTTCTCTTCTGAAAACCAGCAGCCATTTGAAGATGACAACTTATTATTATTTCCATCTTGCCTGAAAAGTGGTCATTCATCATAACCATGGCATCTATATTACACTTAAGCCTTATGGAGTATTTGCTTATTAAGTTGGTGGTGGGGATGTGCGTGCCCACGTTAAGTCCTGCCCCAAATGTCCCCTCTCTGGAAAATGAGGGAAGGGCTATGTGAACGCCCCAATCTTTCCCACCTATTTAACCCTCTGGGTGCTCAAAGTGCAATGCAATCATCATCCTGCCAGCAGACAAAGGCAACGCCACAGTAATCATGGAAACAGAAGAATACAAGGACAAAATCAGGGAACGTCTAGACCCCACCACCTACAGAAAACTGAAACGGGACCCAACCAACAAAATCACAAAACAAACGTGCTGATCAAGAGTTCCTCCCTGCACCCCAACATACTTCAACGAACCTGCAAGAGAAGCTCTCCCACCAAGACTATACAGACTCCCCAAAATCCACAAAGACTCAATCTCACTCAGGCCCGTTGTAAATGCCATCGGCTCCCCAACATAGGAAATAGCAAAACACCTAGCCACCCTCCTACAGACCCACATTGGACAAACCTCATTCTACATCAAAGATTCAGGACATTTCATAAGCAAGATCAGCACCCTAAAACTCAACCCCGAGGACAGACTGATTAGCTTTGACGTAGTATCCCTGTTCACCAAGGTACCGATAAAGGACACTCTGACACTCATCCAGCAGATCTTTCCAGAAGACATCAAAGCCCTTTTCCAACACTGTCTAACAACCAGCTGTTTTCAGTGGAATAATGAGTTCTATGAACAGACAGATGGAGTGGCCATGGGCAGCCCCCTCAGCCTGGTTATAGCAAACTTCTACATGGAGCATTTCAAAAAACAGGCCCTGGCTTCAGCACCCTTCACACCCACAGTCTGGTTCTGATATGTGGATGACACCTTTGCAATTTGGAACCACAGTGAAGAAAAATTGGAAGAATTTCTCACAGACCCCACTGGAAAACTATTGATAAAACACAACCTATGCAGAAGAAAGAATTAATTTCAGAATTTATTTATTTCTTAAAGAATGTATTAAATTGCACCATTTGTCTTTGTTTTATACTGTTTCTAGTAAATTAGAGTAGGTTAAATTCCTGCATGGTATGCTTCTTACCGATAAGCCTCTTTCACCAGGCGTAACTGCCAGTTTGTTAGAAGTACATATTTCTAAGGTTGTCAGTTGAAAGTGATTCTTCATGTGGGTGATATTCAAAATAGTTTTCTAGAGAAACAGTCATTTATTAATTCTATTTATTTATATCCTGCCTTTCTCTCAATAAAGGAAGTCAAAGTGGCTTCTAAAATGTTTTAAAGACAAATGGCAAATATTTGAAAGAGAATAAGTCCACACAAACACAAGTAGAAAAATAATGTATGGCCAAGATAAATGACAATTTGATACGATGATAGAGAAAACAGGTAGTTTTGGGCTACTCCTTCAATTCTTCAACACTCAGTTTTCTTTGAACCTCCTGGTAAAGATGATGGGTTGTGTGTGGCACCTCTTCAGTGGGAACCTAAAAGAAAAGCAGACCAGAGATCCATCTGAGTCCATGGATATTTTTCCCACTTTGTCCCCTGGGCAGTTATGTGTAGAATAGCATTGAAACAAGATATCTCGGGCTAGCCGTTCTATTGGTAACAGAACCAAACTGCTTGGAATTAGTCAGCAGATGAGGGCATGACCCCCACCTACAAAAAGAAATGATCTTGTATTGTCCTGTTTTTTTAAAAAAGAGATTTAAAATAAGGTGTTTCCATGCTGTAAACAGAAACATGGATTAATTTTCCAGGGAAACATGTTTTCTGGTTGAAAAGCAATGGAAAATACTGTTCCACCAGATTGTCATTTATTTTAACACATGTTAAAATAACATGTGTTATTTTTTCCCCCAATTGATTCTGTACATCTAACCACGTCTGTCACTACAAACTGCTTCTTTCAGTTACCAGCAGAGTTGGGGAGAAGTGGCAGCAGCAACACAAACTGCAGGAAGTGGGTGGGGAACCTCTAGGTGGTTCTACTCCTCCTCGTCTGACATTTAAATGAAAATAAATGTCAAAATCCACTTTATGTAATATTTTACATAATACTTTACATAATATTTTACCTGATTTTTTTAAAAAAAATCTTCAAATATTGCACAAAGAATTGTATGCTTTTTTATTTAGTCTGTTAATGGAATCAATATAAATTCTGGACTTTGTTTGACGGCCAACATACATTCCCCATAATTTTGGAAAACTCCTTTGGCATTTTATAAATGAAAGGAACACAGTAGGACCTCCATATCCATGGAAGATCAGTTCGAAGCCACCCTATAGATGCTGAAAAACACGGATTATAGAGAATATAAATATAGCAAGCACTCCCTCTGTTGGCTGTTTCTGGTAACTTCATTGTTAGAGATATATATTTTATGAGATTTTTCTTTTAATATTTTTAATATTTTCAGACCATGAATAAGCAAATCAGCAGATACTGACACTAGAGATAAGGGCCCCCTTACTTAAACTATTCTATCCCTGCCATATAATTACATCTTACCTCCCAATACACTGAGTCATCATAGCAGTTCTGGTCCGGTGGCTGTCCCAAGAATGACAGATTTATAAGTAACCCTATATCATAGGGAGAAAATACAAGAGCACAATCAGGCAAATTTCCTGCAATGTATGTTACATAAAATTAGCAAGAAAGGGTATAATTATTTATTTCATTTTATTTGGTTTGTTTTATTTATAGGCTGACTTTCTCCTGCTAAGGGGACCCAAGGCAGCTGACAATATTAAAAAGGACAGAATTAAAAACATTATAAGTTAATCATTAAAAAAACAATTAAACTATATGCTAATTAAAATACAATTGAAAAATTTAAAACAAGTAAGTACTAAAAACTATTTTAGCTTTAAAAAGGAATTCATGTTCATTCATGAATGTTAAAAGATTGCTAGAGAAGGAACTTTCAATTTTGGTTCACCTGCTAAACAGTTTGATTTTTCTAAAAGCCACAAGCAACTTGCTATTTCATGAATTAGCACTTATGAAACAAAATGCTTACTTAGCATTAACTTATATGGAAGCATGGCAGTTAGTTTAAGTGAATGCAAAAACCTTTCCTTTTTTCCAACTAGGATGTGACTAACTTTGCCTCACTGACTGTGCTGAGTTCCTCACTGTTTCTTTCTACATTTATTCCATTACAATGGTATAAGCTCTAATCCTGAACATAAATTACCCTCTCTTTTTTTGCCAACAGACTTCTGTTTTTACGTAGCATTTCCAATCTCATTACTACGTCTTGTTCTTGGCTTGTGTGATTACATGCGTACTGTATATCTGTCTCTTTCAGGGACAAAGCATGTCCTGATCACGCTGATGGTGACCTATAGAGTGGGTCAGGGTGTGGTGTTGGAGCATTATTTCAGCTAGTGAGCAGCGGCTCTTTAAAATATCTCCCTTCTGAACCAATTTAATTTAATGTGATTTTGTGGATTTTAACACTGATGTTGTTTTAACTTGTGCCTATGTGGATTTTGGGTGGGGGGGGCATCACCAGTTTGTCAGGGTAGCAGAAGATGGACAGGCACCAAGCAGGCACCCAGTGGGTGCAGAACAGGCGTAGGCTGTCCTTGGTGTCCTGGTGGGCTCTCTCTCTGCTTGCTCTGCACCCACTCTAGGCCTGCCGAGTGAGCATGCCAGGACATGGAGGACCCTCTGCATCCCACCCCCTCTGTGCCTGCTCTGTGCCCACAGAGCGAGCGAGCGTGCCAGGATGTAGAGGGCAGTCTGGGCCTCCACTCTGCACCTGGCTCTGCGCCTGCCAAGCGATTATGCCTGGAGACAGAGAATATTGTGCAGCTGCCCTGCAGTTGCAAACAGAGGGAGTGCCAGGACACAGAGTGGTCAGTGCATCAGGAGCATCACCCCACGAAACAACTGACCAGCCCGCTGACTCAGGGAGCCACTTCAGTCTGCCCAGCAGCTGAGCAGTGTGGTGGTAGGTGCAGAACGGCTGTGCCAGAACTCAGAGGACAGCCGGCGTGCCAGGAGCCTCACTAAGAGACACTCATTTTAGTGATGTGTGTGTGTATGTGTATATATATATTGTGGTCATGAGATTGTATGGGTTAATATTTACTGCTGGGGCCAGAACGGCTGTGCCAGAACTCAGAGGACAGCCGGCGTGCCAGGAGCCTCACTAAGAGACACTCATTTTAGTGATGTGTGTATGTATGTGTATTGTGGTCATGAGATTGTATGGGTTAATATTTACTGCTTGGGCATTGGGGCTTTCAGGCATGGTAGGCCAGTTGTTATGGGTTACTAGGTTCTTGCTTTCCTGTCACAGCTTTGTCGTTTGTGGTATTGGGCTTAGATTCAGGCAGTATGAGGGCAGCAGGCAGGAGCCTGCTTACCCAAAATGAGGAATCCCCTTAAGGGGAGCTGGTGGGCAGGATCTGGCCTAACTCAGGAGCTGTTGACCGAGCCTTGCTCTCAGTTGGCAGGAAGAGATGAAGTGGCATATGACTTGTGGTCTCCAAATGACTGCCACTTTTGATGGTGGTGGTGGTGCACATGGGGGGGCATTTGGGTCTCCTGATGTAGTGGATCCATTCCCAGTGCTGGGCCAGAGGGAACTGCTGCTGTCATCAACAAAGGTGCGGCTCTTTCCTTCCAAAGAATTGTCAGTGGAATTGCTCAGCTCTAGGCCAACAACTCCCTTATTCACATGAAATTTCAAGGTTACATTGAAACAGGGTTTTTTTTTACTGACCTGTGAGGGCTCCTCCTACTAAGGCAATCCCAATGGAACAACCCAGAGCAGCAGCCTGCAGCCCAGCAGAGATCCTGTAAATTATCAGGGGGTGGGGGTGGAAGAGAGGAGAAACACGAGCATCACCTTCAACTCTGCTGAATGGAGTTTCTTAGGGTGCCTTTCTTTTGTGCAGAGAACAAAACTATTACCCACGTGTGGTAATAGAAATTATGGTAGTTTCAGGACAAAACACACAGAATTCTACAGGGGGCGAGAAACATGTACAACAGTGCATTTTCCCTCTCCTGTGGCTATGATTTTTGTCCAATATTCAAAGGCCTCTGATGGCCAGTGATTTGTGGCCCTATCGTCTCTCTTCAAGACCTTACACAGCTGCAAGAATTATCTTTGCTAAACATTGGAAAGACCTGGCGAATCCATCACAAGATGAGTTAATAACAAAATTCTGGGCACGGCAGAAACGGATAAATTATCAAAATGGTTAGTTCCGACAAGAAAGACGAACCATGAGGACTGTTGACATAAATTTTATGACTGGCTCAGAAATAGAATGCAAATTAATATCTGATAATAGAAAGCCTATGATTAATTTAGAAATAGGACATATAACGTAACTAAGCTTTACCAGGAACATTTGTACCTATGAAATGTAACAGATGATAATGAGTATTCTAAAATGTTTATGTAGATTTGCACCCCCTGTTTATCCCATGTCCCATTTTCTCCCACCCCTACACCCAACCCCTAAAACAAACAAACAAACGAACAAAACACAAATCAAAGCCCGGTTGCAAACATTGCTGCAGTACCAGAAAAGGACACTTAAAAATTCCAAATAAAAACTCACTGCTTGTTGACCTGCGCAGCAGCTGCAATTATGCTTGCAATGCCTCCCAAGATACCAGGCAAGCCATGAAGGTTATGGACACCACAGGTATCTTGAATTTTCAGCACAGAGGCAAGACGTGGCTAGAAAGAAGCAAAATAAAGGCTAAGTGTCACTTGGTGGGAATGCTCTTTTCAGCTCATAAGATGGAAACCATTTTAACTCAAATGGGGCATAGCTCAATCTTTTCAAAGACTTCTTTTTAAAGATCACAGTTTTGACCTAAACAACAAAATTACCTATGTGTACATGTGGCAGTCTGTTGTGATGAACCAGAGAAGAGAGGGAAGCTGTGCTAAATTTCAAGACCAAACTCTACAACAGATAGCCAGTCATTAGAAGTAATACTTCCTTGAGTGCTGGAAGATATCTGATGGTCACAGCCGCCTTTTCACATTGCCCATCTTTTACAAATTAGCTTGCTTTATTGTATGAACTGCTAAAGAAAACCTAACAAGCATGGCTGATCGTAGCATAAATTAAGAATGCTCACTAAGTCACCAGAGTATGAAACAAGGGGTGCTGCTGAGTCAAAAGCAGGATCTGTTGCTCTAGCATTTCTTTAAGAAGTTATACTCACAGTCAAGTATTTGAATCCAGCAACTGAGACAATTCCAGCTATGCTGCCGATTATCATGGCTCCAAGGGGCAAGATGTTCAAGTCTGCACAGGATCCCACAGCAACGCCTCCTGCTAAAGTTGCATTTTGAATGTGCACCTGTGTGTGAGGCATAAATATTGGTCTGTGAGATATTAGCTGGCAAAAGTAGCTGTTTGAGTCATCCATAGAAATAACATTCTGGATTGAGTAATAATACCTTTATGGGATCACTAAAATGTCACTTGTAAGTTCTCCAGAACTCTGCATCAGGCAAAGATGGTCAACTCCTTAATCGCCAATTTTTCCTTATGTGGAATGACATCAGTGATTCATTTCCTAATATTTCAGGGCAAAAATCTGCAACAAGAGTCTTATGATGCCACAGGAGCAGGCTCTTGTGATGTTGTACAGGTGGAACAGGCAAGGTAAGGGTAAGGGTTTGTTTTTTCTCTCTCCAGGATTTATGCCATTGCTGTGAGTGCTTGTGCAACAAGAAAGTTCAGGAGTGGCAATCCTCAGCTTTGTTCCAAACGGCAGAATGGACCCATAATTGCTGCACGTTTTGAACAGGAAGCTAGGGTGGCGCTAGGCCAGGAAACCTTCCAACTAGGTGAACGAGTTTTATTTGGCTTCAGCTTTCATGGCCTGAAGACATGAGTTACAGCAGATGCTACAAGGCTCTCACCTGATTCCGTTCCAGAAACGGTCCTTTCTGGGTTTTTTTGTGATATACAACAAATTAACCTCTGGACAAATTATATCAATAGAAAACCACAAAAAATCTTTCGCAGAATTCGGACAAACCTTTTAAATAGAATGACTATGGGCTTGTACATACTGGGAAATCTGGTGCAGTCTGGTGCAAGCTTAAAAAATTCTTATCTTAAGTGCAATCTGTATTAACTCTCACTTGAACAATCCTTCTGTCTACAATTGAGATTGTGCTGTGGGTCCTATTTTCTCAAGCTATTCGTCCACACAAAGCAAGGTTTACCCACTTTACTTGTGAGCAAAGTTTTCCCAATTAACTTGTGAGCAAGGTACAACCTGTCTACTAACAGTCCACATAGGCCATACAGTGAGCCAATTAGGATTGTGCTGAATCATACAAAAAAGAATAGAGTACATGCCCTTTTGTTGTGTCCTATCGCTGTCCAGAAAGGAGCAGGACAGCTCTTAAAGGGGCAGCATGGATCAATCTACGTGGATAGCATCATTTGGTTTGAACCCAATGGTAGCAACAGTGACCCTTATACTGATCTATGTGCCAGAAAGCCTCTATAATGATATACTAAAGCTATCTTTTACTGACAAGTGGTAGGATAATGCCTTGGGACCCAGACTATCCATGTTACATGGCTTCAGCATTTCATATTCCTACTTCTAAAAAGGAACTCTCCAAGCTCTAGAGGACACAAATCCCTGTGCAGATTTTGAATACTCTCCTATCACTGCAAAGCAGATCTTGCCTTTGACGGATGTGAGGCTCCAACCATATTTGACATCAGGCACCTTCCTGACCCCCTACCTAACAAACTCCTGTTACTCATCACAGCTATACAGAGATGAAGCAAATAATTTATGATGATTACCATGTCAAGTTTGCCTCTGGGTTCCATCAAGACAGAGAAGGCAAAGGCTGTGAGGGTGGATGCTGCGAGAGAGAGGTATGTGTTGATGATGGCTCTCTGCTGAGGCTCTCCCTTCTCTGCAATTGCTGAGTTAAAGCTGGGCCAAAACAGCCAGAGGAAAAGAGTCCCTTCAAAAAGACATTTAAAAAAAGAAAGAATGCAAAATGTGGAATGCCATTAACTCACAACTCCTTGAGGTTATGAAAAAACTGCTAGATCTCCAGGTTAACGTGGTCTCTTCTGAATGGCAGTAATTCTCTAGAGCTCCAGCAAACCATTTTTCTGATCATCTGCTTCCAGTTGATATTTTTAACCAGAGGTGCAAGGACTGAATCTGAAGATCATCATTCTGCACTTCTGCACTGTGCTCTGCCACTGTTCTATGGACCCTAGTCATAGCTGCCTTCCTAAGCCCTAATATCACACTATGGCTTTAACAAAAATCTCAATTTCTCCCGTTTGAGACATGAATACCAATAGAACTGCTAAAAATTCTATTGCACCAGGAATTTGGTACTAAAGTAGCATTATTTTTAGTCAATGGTGTCAAAGCAGTACTTATACTATGCTACACTTAACTGAATCTGAAGATCATCATTCTGCACTTTTGCACTGTGCTCTGCCACTGTTCTGTGGACTCTAGTCATAGCTGCCTTCCTAAGCCGCAATATCACACTATGGCTTTAATAAAAGCCTCAGTTTCTCCAGTTTGAGACATGAATACAATAGAACTGCAAAAAATATATATTGCACCAGGAATTTGGCACCAAAGTAACATCATTTTTAGTCAATGGTATCAAAGCAGTACTTATGCTATGCTACACTTATTTTATTTATTTAAAATATTTTACCTCACCTTTCTACTTAAAAGGGCCTAAAAGAGTTAATATCATTTAAAAGGTCTTCATCTGCTTGTGGAAGGACAGCAAAGATGGGATCAACCTGGCTTCCCATGGGAGGGAGTTCCAGAGCCTGAGAGCAGGACAGCAAAGATGGGACCAACCTGGCTTCCCATGGAGGGAGTTCCAGAGCTTGAGAGTGGTGACACAGAAGACCCTCTCCCATGTACCCACCAATCGCACCTGTGAGGAAGGTGGGACTGAGAGGAAGGCCTCCCCTGATGATCTTAGCACCTTGGATGAGAGGAAGGCCTCCCCTGATGATCTTAGCACCCTGGACAGACTCATAAAGGGAGACACGGTCCTTGAGATAGCTTGCATCCAAGTTGTTTAGGGCTTTATAGGTTCAGCCAATACTTTGAATTGTGCCCAGAAATGGATCAGCAGCCAGTGGAGTTGCTGTAACAGGGGTCTTCTATGTTCCCTGTAACAACACCAGTTAATAATCTGGCTATAGCATTTTGGATGTCCTCCAAAGGCAGCCCCCATAGACAGCACTGCAATAATCCAGTCGAAATGTTATTAGTCCATGGGTCACCATGGCCAGATCAGACTTCTCCAGGAATGGGCACAGCTGTGCACTAGTTTCAACTGTGCAAAGGCACTCCTGATCACTACCAAATCCGGGCATCCAGACTCAGAGATGAATCCAGGAACAACCTCAAGCTGCACACCTGTTTTTTCAGGGGTAGTGTAACCCCGTCCAGCACAGGCTGAATCCCTATTTCTTGCCTTTTGACTGACCAGGAGCAGCTCTGTTTTGTCTAGATTAAATTTCAGTTTATTTCCCCTCATCACGTCCATTACTGATACCAGACACTGATTTAGAACTGAAACAGCTTCCTTGGGTTCAGATGGAAAGGAGAGGTAGAGTTGGGTGTCATCCGCATACTAACTGACACTGAACCCTCAAACTCGAGGTAGAGTTGGGTGTCATCCGCATACTGACACTGAACCCTCAATCTCCAACCTCTCCCAATGGTTTCATGTAGGTGTTAAATAGCATGGGGGACAAAAGAAAACTCTGAGGGACACCACAGGTCAAAGGCCAGGGTGCCAAACAGGACACCCCTAGCACCACTCTCTGAGTTCTCCTCTCCAGAAAGGACCAAACCCACTGCAAAACACTGCCTCCAAGTCCCATCCCAGAGAGATGGCCCAGAAGGAGACCATGGTCAATGGTACTAAATGCTGCTGAGAGGTCCAGCAGAAGGCCCAGAAAGATACTATGGTCAATGGTACTGAACGCTGCTGAGAGGTCCAGCAGAGCAACACGGACACACTTCCCTTGTCCAGTTCCCAGCATACATCGTCCACCAAGGTGACCAAAGCACTCTCCATCCCATGATAAGGCCCAAAGCCAGACTGAAATGGATCTAGATCACTGGTTCTTAACCTTGGGTTACTCAGGAGTTTTGGACTGCAACTCCCAGAAGCCTTCACCACCAACTGTGCTGGCTGGGGTTTCTGGGAGTTGCAGTTCAAAAACATCCGAGTAACAAAGGTTAAGAACCACTGATCTAGATAATCTGTCTCATCCAGGAACCCCTCAAGGTGAGAAGCCCACAGCCCACTCTTGCTCCTTGCCCAATAATGGGATCTTAGAGACTGGCCGGTAACGATCTAGTACCGTGGGATCCAAGGAGGGTTTTTGCAATAATGGACTTCTTACTGTCTCATTTAGGCATGCCAGGATCCTACCCATTCACCACCCCTCACACTCACTCAGCCAATCCCTCTCTGGCACCTTTTATAAGCCAGAAAGGGCAGGGGCAGTACCGTGGGATCCAAGGAGGGTTTTTGCAATAATGGACTTCTTACTGTCTCATTTAGGCATGCCAGGATCCTACCCTGCTGCAAGGAGGCATTCACCACCCCTCACACTCACTTGGCCAATCCCTCTCTGACACCTTTTATAAGCCAGAAAGGGCAAGGGTCCAGCAGACAAGTGATGGCCTTCACCTCTCCAAGAGTCCTGCTCATGTCATCAGGCTACAAAACTGAACTTATCCATTAACCACAGGACAACCCACTGATGTGAACAGAGGAACAGAGTACATTGTGAATTTCCTCCAATCAAATCTATGAAATTTTAAAGGTTGTGATTTGTGCCTTAAAATCCTTTCATACAGGCTTGATTATGTGATTCTCTTGACACAATTGAATTGAAGCCCGTGCTACACCAAAAAGTCTTACAAAGTTCAGTATGACAGTGGGGGTGTGATATTATTCAAGAGAGATAGATTCAAATCAGATGCCACAACATTGTGGAATGCCACAATTGTCTAATGCCGCAACATTAGAAACAATGTTTCTAACAATGTTAGAAAAAGAAAACATATTAGTGGATCAGCTATGCTCAACTATGTCTAAATGAGGAAAACGAAGTTGCAGTTTAACTGCCAATGACCAATCACAAAACAAGATAATCTGTAATCTACAGAAGATCTAATGCCGCAACATTAGAAACAATGTTTCTAACATTGTTAGAAAAAGAAAACATATTAGTGGTTCAGCTATGCTGTCTTATCTCAACTATGTCTAAATGAGGAAAACTAAGTTGCAGTTTAACTGCCAATGGCCAATCACAAAACAAGATAATCTGTAATCTACAGAAGATCAGAAAATCTTATGGGATTATCACCAGGGAGTATTTAGCATTTAAGGATTTCCTTCTTTTCTTGGTAGCATCTACTTTGATCAACAGTATCATGACAAGTTACGGAATATATCTGTGAAGATTCACAGTCCTCCAGGTGAGGTTATCTGGAAGTTGAGTCATGGCCACTGGACTTCTTTCTTATTAGGTTGAAACGTTTTGCTACTCAGTCAAGTAGCTTCTTCAGACTGAGGAGAGTTGGTAGGAGACAGTTATGGAAGAGACTTAGAACTGATGGATGGTTCCATGGTTTAGGTATCCGGCTGGGGAGCAAGAGGTCCGGAGTTCAATTCCCCACTGTGCCTCTTTGGAAGGGGCCGGACTCAGTGATCTGTAGGATCCCTTCAAGCTCTGCAGTTCTAAGATAATGATGATGTTAGTGACTTTAATAGGGCTTGCAAGATAAATGAGATATTTAAGGAGTGGCTTTACCAGTTGCACTCCCCCAGCGACAGAGGTCCGGAGTTCAACTCCCCACTGTGCCTCCTTGAAAAGGGCCAGACTCAGTGATCTGTAGGATCCCTTCAAGCTCTGCAGTTCTAAGATAATGATGATGTTAGTGACTTTAATAGGGCTTGCAAGATAAATGAGATATTTAAGGAGTGGCTTTACCAGTTCCACTCCCCCAGCGACCTTCCATGGCTGAGCAGAGATTTGAACCCAAGTCTCCAGAGTCCTACTCCATCAATCTCTTCATCAGACCACACTGGGTGCCACACTGCCATGATAATTAATTCCAAATAGACAACAAGCACCTTACTCACCTATCATAGCAAATAAGTCAGAATGGTAAACAGAACCTTCATTCTCATGCCCCTTTGATAGGCCAGGGCGGTATAGGACTCGAGCCACAGCCAGACCAAAGTATGCTCCAAAAGCATGAATAGTCATGGATGCGCCAATGTCGGTTGCCTGTAAAATTTCAGAAGTCACTTTAAAAGTTAGTTTTTTAAACTCCTAGACAAAGCACTGAACCACCATTTTAAGGCAAACCCTGAATAACCTTGTGTTGAAATAACCTTGTGTTGAAATAAGATGCATGTTAATAAGATTTTAGTTGTTCCTTAAGCTATTCTGCCATTGCATCAGGACAGGTATGCCAAGAGGGCTGCAGGTTTCTTCTCATTATCTTCTTCCTAAAAACAATCAAGAAGGGTGTGTTGGGGTCCTGGAATTTAATGCTTCTGAGAAAAATGGGCCTTTTCCTTCAATCAGAGTATGTGGAAAGGACAAAAAATAAAACTGATTTCACTGATTTCTCAATGATTTCCTTCTTTGAGAAAAATTAATTTCTCAAAGAAGGAAATCATTGTGGGGGGGGGGTTTGAGGGGAAATAACCAATTTGTGTGCCACTATGGTGGCAAACCAGAATCTGGTCATTGCATTTGGTTGCAAGAAGATATTGGATCAACCAAAGGCCCATCTCAGCCCACCTTTTCTTTCAATGTGTGGCAAATGCACAACTAGATTAGCACAACCCTTTGAAATATTAAACTGAAAATTAAGTGAGCTGAAGTTCAAACTACTAATTTAAACTTTAAAAGAAATGCCCAAATACTGCTGAGAACTCAGGGTATCACTCCCAGAAACAAAAACAGCTACCGCTATGGGGAAAAAATCAGTCAGGTAATTTTACATTTCAAAATATTAATCTTTTATTTTACTGCTTCTTTACCTGTCTTTTATTTTCTATGTTAACCTGACATGTCATTTAAACATATTTCTCTCTCAACTATAATTTTAAAGTGGATGTTGAAATGTTTTTGTTAATCATTTAAAATTATGGAATTTGGCATGTTAGTCATTATTTTTTAGACTCATGCTCCCAACATCTTTCTACTTTCTAAGGCTAATGTAGTGGCCATGAATTCCCTGTCCGTTGTGCAAAATAACAATCTGTGCGACATTGTTTTGCAAAGCTTTGATTTTCTTAATGTCTCTGCAAACATGTTGACTTTTGAGACTGTGGAGAGGAGTACCATGTCATCATAGCAAACATGGGAGCAGAGGTGTAATAACTGGGTTGGGGGGGGGCAAAAAACCCTCTGTCTGCCTGAAATCCTGTCATGCAGCTCCGTGTGCACAATGAGAATTAAATCAGCAGCAGCAGCAAATCACTGTTGGTGAAAGGCTTCCTTTGGCAGATTTGCTGTACAGGGTATGAGTCATACATGCCTGAAAATAACCAAAGGGACTTTTCATAGAAGTAATTTGGCACCGCTGATTATGTCATTCGCATCAAGCACATGGAACTACATGCCAGGATTTCAGACACTGTCTTGTATTTAGCTTGCAGACTTGGGCAAGTCTTTTGCCTCTATTTCATCTAGCCCTTTTTTCCTAATGGCCAAATGCCACTGGGAAGCTTACATACATGGCTAGAGAGTGATGACACTCTCCCACTGTTCACTCCAGGCCCCTTCTAGTTTAGTGGTACACTGCTTCTGAGCATGGCGGTTCCATTTAGCTATCATGGCTAATGGAGGGGGCACAGTTTTTCTATTGATGTGATCTGGCAAAGACAGGTGGCAGAAGTCTTAGATAGTTGAAGCCGGGAGGAAGTGCAATAGGCGTTTAGGCACCCTGAAGGCACTTGTATCATGTTAGGAAGTATTTTGCTTTCTGCGTTTCAAAGAGCAAAGAGGTCACATAGCCCATAGTGAAAAAAAGCACAGCTACTGAGTGTGTGGTACTTACTGATTTGTTCATCATCTTACTCTTTCTACATTCACCGCAGATATTGAAAGGCTTACAGTAAGTTGTGATTTCCTTCTCCATTTAATATTGAATCTCTAGATCACTTGTAGGCAAGAAACAGGCATCAGGAACAGCCCATCATATCAGCTGACAAGATGTTAATGTTGTGAACAGGTGGCTGAAGCAGTCTTTCTCATGATTGTGAAACCAGACGTCAAACAAAGTCCATGATTAAATCCTGAAGACTGAACTCAGGAATCTAACTCAGATTATACATTCATTCTGCGACACTCAGAGGTGCACTTTAGTTAAGAATGTTCATCTTCCAGTCATGGGCTGTCTCTAACATCTGTTTCTGGCCTCAGTAAATGGTGAGCTAAGGTGGAACACAAACTATCCCTCATGTTTTTTTAAAACTGAGTCTACCTGAGAGAAAAATTAAGTAACTATACTAATGATAGCATGTGGAAAATGGAAAAGAGCACTCCACTCATGGGGTGATGCACTCTTCTTGGTCCATAAACCACTCAGGAGTTATAGTATTAAAACTATAATACAGTACTATAGAAAATTAGTCTACAGAACTGAAACCAAAATATTCTACAAGAGGAGAAATTTGGAGAAGAAGCCACTGGAAGCTGAAAACCATAAAGGACACCAAAGAGGTGAAGGTGGCACATGATAGATCTTCTCTCTGAACTGACATTTTACTGTGAGTAGAGTAGCAGCAAACAGTTTTCCTTCCTCAGTGCATATGTCACAGAAAAATCCCTACCTTTAGGACTTCCACAACAAGGTGCTCATTGCATGCAAAGATGGTGATTTCAAAAATGGCCATGATCAGCATCTGAACCGGACTTGTCCTCCCGAGGACAGCGCCAAATGAAATCAGGACAACTGCTGTGCTGAAGTCTGCATTGATCATACTTTCGGTTTGAAGACGGGGAGAAAAAGACAAAATGACGCCTGGTTAACTCTGAGGCCATCGGTGCCCTGCAGTCTTAAGAATGGAAGGAAAGTGCATGGCGGTATTTTTCTACAGTGCAGCAAAGCCACAGTCTTATAAGCTGGTTGGATGGTAGACTATGTGGGAACGACATGAAAGCGCAAAATGGCACATTACATTATCCTTGCTTTTAAAAAATAAGCCTAAATGTTAAGTCACTTTGCTTTGGAGGGAAAAGCAACAATATGAGTCTGAAGTAGTGGACTCATGACTGCCTTTTCTTCTAAAGAAAACAGACCTGAAATTTATCTCACATTAAAAAAAAAACCACAATGAATGTAGCACATAGTTGGGCTTCAAGGGCCTTGGGGACCAGAAACAGTCTTTATCAATAGCCCATCTCTGTTGCTGAAGCCATGGAAATCTTGGAGAGAGGTGATTGAGGCAGACATTTGGATTGGTTGTATCAGATTTCAAGGGAATCCCATGCTGAAGTCTTGAAAATCAGTCACCAAAGAGAAAGAAATAATTTGCAAATACCAGGGAATGGCAGAAGCTTCTGCTTCTCAGATGTTTAGCCACTTTTGGGACTTAAGGGTTTTCCTGTTCTACTGAAAGTCTACATTTAACTGTTTTTTCCCCTGAATGCCAAAATATAAGAAACATGAAACGTTAGTTTGACAGTGTCACTCATCCTCTCCTCTTCCTTACAACATCCAAGACAAGCAACAGGATCTGTCAGCACGGTGATCCATTGCCCTGCATCTGCCTCTTCCCTGCTGTTACAGGTGAGGAAACAGGGAAGAAGCCACAAGGTGCAGCAGCATCTCTGTATGTTTGCACTCTGGCCTTCAGCTCTTTGAATGCAGATTTTAAAAACAAAACAAAACACCACAGTAGTATATTAGAACTGAAGAGAAACTGGGATGGTGATGGCTTATCATGCCAAAAGCGCAACCAAAGTATGGCCCAGTTACTAATGATTCCTTTAATTAGTTCAAGCGTCTTGTAAGTCCCCTTTAATGGTCTGTGTGACAGAATATAAACCAGGAGAATTCCCTGCCTGTTTTACTCCCTTCTGTCAAAAATACAGAATTATCATTTATTCATCTTCTTATAGTCAATGGATATGCACACAGCTATATTGCACAATAAGATATAATTTCCTATTGTTTAATAATATATAATTCATTGTGAATCTAATAAAATGCCTAATAATTTAATAATAGACTTATTTTGCAGAAGAAATGAGAGACCTACTCTGAATTTGAATAACATTTGGTACATATTTACGGGGCGGACAGAGTAAGGAAGCTTTATTGTTGAGGACTAAAACTTTCAGAATGCTTCCAAAGAGTCATGTTTCCCATGTCTGCTTTCCAGTTTACCTTGCAATTCAATAGCCATTGGAATGGCATCCTAGGGGCCGCAGAAAATAAGGGTTGCAGAGGGAGAGAAGATGCTCTGTTTCTGTAAAATCCAAAGCTCTCTCTGCCCTTAGATACACCTTCAGTGCCAGGGCAAACCAATACCAATAGTAGAGTCATGTATAAACAATTTATCTTCTCTGCTTGCATTACAAAGGAAACAGGTGCAGGTTTTTTTCCAACACCACTCCTCTCTGCCTTTCTCCCTGACAGCCAATGTCAAAACATTCCAAGCCTGCAGGTAAGACTAGACAAACTTTCCCATCCTTTGGTGGCTACGGTGGAAGACCACCCTTGTTTCGAATTTTTTACTGAACCACAAAATGATTTGTTTATCTGGTCATTACTGATTGTCGTAAATAAAACCACTCAGCAGGTGCCTTGGGGTTGGAACAAAATTGCCAGCTGAAGAAATTTTACAGTTCATCATCAATAGGCATGCTTTGCAATCTCCATTGTGCAGGCTGGGAAACAAATTTCTGAGCTGCAGACAAAATACTGTTTGGACGAGCCTATGAACCCACCTAATTTCTTGGAAGCAGCGCCACCTTGAGGTGGATACTTGCATTCTTCACAACAGGTGAAATATTTATCCTTTGAAAATTTTTGATCATCTGAGAAAGCCTCAGATGTTTTTTTAAAACTCTGTTCCAAATATGACTCACTTTAGCTCTAGTTGCTTCATTTCATTTTAATATATTTTCTCTTGCTTACAGAACGTGCTTATACAACACTGCTTTGCACATTTTGTATATGTTTTAGTCCATATTTATATATTTATGTATATTTTACATGCAATGTATACATTTGAATGGGCTTTTGTCTGGTTATGAAGTTTCTTTTCGGCAGTTTCTTGCATTGCATAGTAAGCACACTGCTTTGCACATTTTGTATATGTTTTTGTCCATATTTATATATGTATATTTTACGTGCAATGTATACAGTTGAATGGCCTTTTGTCTGGTTATGAGGTTTCTTTTTGGCAGTTTCTTGCATTGCATAGTAAGTTCAAACTAGTATCATGTTGGTGGAGTAGGTGGCAGTAACGAGCCATCACATAATTGGTTCCAATGATGGAGAAGATAAATAAGACCAAATCCAGCTACAGGTTCTATGCACAGGGTTGCACAACAGATGTTGCAGCCAATTTGTTCCTGCGTTGTGCAATGCTCCATTCTTCTATACTTTCATTTCTTGCTCTGCCTACATATAGAGTCATGCTGTGCAACCATGAACAAGATTAGAGATCAGCACAAAATGTGGTTGAGTGAAACATGATTGAGCAGAAAGACCTGGAGAGGGAAGGATGCTGCTGTTAGTGAATGGGCAATCACATGGAGGAGGTGGGGAGGGGAAGCACACAGTGCCCATGGAACATCTGTGCAGGTGCCGAACCAACGAACTGCAGTTTGTGCCCATCTCCAAACAGGATACATGCCTGTATAAAAGTATCTCCTGACCATAAACTGAAATCATGTCTGCATTTGTGTCCATGAAATTGAAAAAAAAAATTCTGATTGAAACCAAACTGGAATAAATTTCTTATCCATCCCACATTTGCCGCAGTAATTATAAATTACAAAGCACAATAAGACAACTAAGTGAAAATAAAGAAAATACAAATACATTAAAACAACCATTCTCAACCTTTCTGTTTTGTTTTGCCACAGCCATAAACACAGTTTGAAAGAAATACAGAATGAATCAGGATTCTATCCGTTGCATAATGGGCTTTATAAGGTGGTGTGTGAAGAATTGTCTCCAGACTGTGGCCCCCTTCAAATGTGCCGGGGGCAGGAGGGCCAGAAGAAGAGGCACAACAACAGTACTGCGTCTTCTGTTAAGAAAAAGAAGTTGTATAAATTAGTGCCTAAAAGGCAGAAGTGGACAGCAAGGCAATGCTATGACAAATGTGTTCTGTCCAAAAAAGGCCCTCTCTCTGGTTACCACCTGTTGTATGATGGTGGGCCTCAGAAGAAGGTTTTAATGCCTGGGCATATTTATCTGAGATATGATATCTCCTCAGGTATACATACCAGAGGAGACACATAAAATAGCACTTGCCAACTTACAATAGGGTATAGAATCTTAGACCGCAGTAAGAATTGTAGCTTTAAGGAAGCTCAGTACTTCTAAGAATTATTACTGGAGGAGGCTGCTTGTGACTGAAGTATTTTTCAAGACATACACTCACTTTGCAATGCCAATACGGATTTCATTTGATGCCATATGCCAAAATCCCTGGAGTAGGATGCCCCACTGGAGACCCAAGGCAGCAATGAGCAAGTTGATACCAACACTGGTGAAGCCATACTTTTTAAGGAAAGTCATCAAGAAGCCAAATCCAACAAATATCATCACATGAACATCTTGAAAGTCTGCAAGGAGAAGGAAAACAATATGGTTGGTTGCATTTATCTAGCAGTTATGACTTTCCACTTATTTCCAAGAGTCTGCCAAAAGAATTCAGTTCTTTTCCATGGGATGTTAGAAAACAGAATCAATAATTTCTAATAACATAAAATAACAGATAACAAAAATAGCCACATTGAACAGTAAACAAATTCTGAAAAGCAATTCTGGGTTGAAACCTTTATTGGGCCTTCCAAAAAAAGCATCAAAAAGTGGGCAAGCATTCCAGATTGCTGATCTCTTCATCAGGCAGGAAGTTTCAGAAGTAAGGAAAGGGAGAAGGCCTGGCCATAAGTCATTGCAGTATGCATGGTGTCTTAAGATGAGATAGAGGACAAAAATAACATGGGATTCATTGAGTGAAGCAGTGGTGTTACGCTTCATTCACATGGTGTAAACCACAAACTTACACATCTTGGAAAACTTAGAAAAGGTTTGTCTTACACCATAAGTTCAGAGCTCATAGGCTCCTGATCTGTCAAGCATTAATTTTATAACTTTATTGTAACAGCCTCCTCATGCGTCACAAAGGGGCTATTACGTCACACTCATTCGCACTTATTCACGCTGCCACCAACCATTCCCTACTTCAGGCCAATTTTGATTTCAAAATAAAAGAACTTGTGTTTATTGTGTACAACAAAAGGAATGGTAAATCACTTGAAGAAAGTAATAAGGCAATCACTGTAATAAAGTAACACTCACACACACTCACGCACAGACCCTCACTAGATAGCACAGTTCTTACTTCACAATATCATCAAGTCCTATCTCCCTAGCATAACCCTATCTTGTACCTATCTCGTCCCTATCTAAATCCCTATCTTGTCCCTATCTTAAATCCCTATCTCAAATCCCTATCTAAAGCACTCATACCACTCACTCCCCTTATATACACTAGCTCCACCCCTTATGTCCCACCTTGTGGGGATTTTGTAGTCTAAAGTTCCATCTTGTGGCTATTAAGGGATACATCACTGGTGTTTAGCATAATCAAGCTATTGTAGTATAATCATCCCATTGTTATGTGATTCTCTCTCTGCGCAGGCGTGGAATGCCTTAAGACTGATAACCACACGACGCCTCTATGGCCAAATTCTTATCATATGCTAATTTTGCTTGTTTTGCGTGCTTAATAAAAACCATCACGCTATTGGCAGATGACATACAGCTTCAGCAGTGACGGATAGGTGATGTCAACGTTACTGTAACAACCACAAACACAAACTTTGTCGACTTACATTGCTCCCTGCACAATCAATAAAAACACCTAATTTGTCCACTAAACACTTCTTCCAGTTGTTCTTCTCCTAGCAAAGGTTGGATGAAATCATGGTTACTTTGACTTTAGATATGACAACTGTGGACCACAATGTTGTGTTGCATCAAAATCTGTCTCAGTGGTTCATCAGCCTGATGGTTCTTCCTCCTTCACCACATCTCTTCCTATTTATTCCCCATTAAGATCAAATCTGGTATCTAAAATTATCTCTTGATAATGTAATCGCTGATTGCTCTCTATTTTCTACAGACTAAGGAGCCTATGTGATGAAGGAGGATGGATTATGTGGGTTCTTCTATTGTCTAAGATGGGAGACTAAACTTTTTAAACTTTCTACCTTGTCAGCATCCTGCAAGCTTAAAAGTTACTTGAGGTGAAATCATGCAGACTGCACTCCATACAGATTACTACACAAACCTCCCCCACAACCTCCATTTTTAAAACATATTATTTGATAAGGTTAGGGAATGGGATCTTATGTGGCAGTGTTGGGGGGGGGAGAATAAGCCTATTTTTTAAAAATCACACCAGTGTGAATTTTGAAATTTTACAACACAAGTCATTTCACAACAAAATTGCTTATTGAGATTTCATTCACATTTCTTCACACAGAATGAATCGAGCATCTACAGAGGGGATAATAGCAAAAACCAATCTAAAATACAGATATTTGTGAAACAGACATAGAGCAACCACCTAGCGCATATTTACACAACTGTAAGAAAACTGATGGAAAATGGTTTCCTAAAATAGTTTCCCATTAAAGCAGGGCTGAGAATATTGGACCCTGAAGATAAATGCAGCCTTCTGGGCTTCCCCAGAAGGTCACATCCCCTTATCTGTGATAGCATCCTGTGATGTTTTCCTTGGTTTTGTTTGCTAAGGCTTTGTCACTGGCAGTAAAAGCTTTTGGATAAAGCATGTTCATAATTTTAGTTTTGTTCTCTTTGCTTTTGGCTCCAGCCACTAGAACCAGGTCCTTGAACCTTCTTCAAACTGAATTAGCTCTACAGCTAAAAGAGCCTGCCCACCTTTGGGTTAGAGACTAGCAAACTGATTATAGCATCAGCATTTGGGTGAGAGAGAGGACTGAACATCAAATTTACTTAGGGAAAGAAATATAGTTTGCACCCTACATAAAGCCTTCTCTGACTGTTTGCCTATCAGCAGAATAACTAACGAACCATCAGTGGATATTCCTGGTGAGAGCAGAAACAAGCTGTTTCACCATGCATTAAACTGCTGACCTTAACAATTTCAGGAGGAATATTTGTTCTCTTGAATTCTGGAAAGCTACAAAACACTCAGTTACAAAATATATTTGCTGTTTTAATCTGGCAAGTAAGCCTTGCCTGTAAACACACAGTTTTGAGTCAACACTAGCAAGTGAATTTTCTGTCAGAAAAAGTCAGAAAAGTTCAGAATCAGACAAATTTAAGCCAACCTTTGAATTTAATGTTCACCTCCCCCCCAAAAAAAATGAGTGAACTGCCCAGGGAAAGTGAGCTCCAACCAGGAATAAATCAAATGGCTTGTTGTGTAGCAACAGAAACGTCGGAAGCACCTCAACCAATGACTTGTTTTCTATTATGCCTGCTATTTAGAAATAATTGTGTTCCAATAAGGAGGAACCCATTGCACTGTTATATATTCCTAACTGATGGTATGTGAAAGCACACATCCAAAGAGATTGCAACAAGTTCTGCCGCTTTAGCAGAGGAGCCCGACTGTGCACAAGGCTGCACCAATTCAAAGAACAGAAGGCTGTACACAGTCTATTAACCAGTGGCAACACTTACGTGGGTATAAGTCTGTTCGGAAGTCTCTTTCCTCATATCTTACAAAAATCGCAAATAACACAATAATGACCACTTCCAAAAGAAGAGCCAGCACAGGGAATTTGATCCGCATGTTGGTGGAGAAAAAGGAATTTGTAATGGGCATCTCTTTGCAACAGCCTGCAAAGGGATGATAATGAGCTGGAGGCTTGCGTGTTTGCCTTCCACAAGATTGCATCAGAGTGACAGGGCAAAAACACAGCCCATGCCAACTGTTAAGCCCAGTAAAGGAGGATCTCAATTCTACAGAATGGTTCCTGCACAGAAACTTTCCATTTACCTACCTATGGTTTAGGGATTATAGCTTGTCTTTCAAAATCCTTCATTGGTCAGTCATAATGCTGTTGGGTGCATAATGGCAGGAAACAATCAGATGATTCATACTGATATTGTTTTGAAATATCTCCCCCTTCCCAAGTTCCTTTCCCATAGATCTAGTTTACAACTTATTTAGGGGAGAGGGGGAGCAATTAAAATATATTGATGTCTAAAGTAAACAAAAGAGAAAGCGCAAAAAGAGTTTGTATGGTATTAAAGCAGCAGATTGTGTTCACAATACTATGTTTCCATAGAGAAAATAAAGTGGAAACTTTTATGGTATTTAAATTTTTGTCAGCTAGGAAGAAGTACAACTAAACATTTAAATGAAGATGCCACTTTGGATTAATACAAAGATATTATTTTTCTTTCTCACTGTGTACATATAGAATATAGTCACAAAAATAAACCAGAATTTGAAGGCAACAGTATAATTAATCATTTTGTGGAACTTGTTTACTGTTAATTAAAACTTTGAAAAAGTAATTGGATGTTGCTGTTACAGGCCGACCCTGGTATTTTACTGCGTAATATTTTAATTGCTCTGAAGATAAGCCTAGCCTTTAACATCAGTGATTGCTGGATGCCAAACTTCTGTTCAGGCTTCTTCTAGGTAGCACATTAGTTTTCCCACACAGACTTTCTGTTGTTTGATAACAAAGGAATGCAAGGCCTGGAAATCATAATAAAAGCACTCTTCTCTTTCAGCTTCTCTGCTGAAACTTTTTTTCCCTCTCTAAGTGCAAATTAGGTACTTAATTGAAGAGAAACTAGGTTTGCAAATGAGAAATGCTAAAATCCCTCCCCAGTACAGTACTGATACTACAAAACAAACCATGCTTTCAAGAGGCACAAAAAGGAATGGGAAATTATGGTTAAAAAGCACTGCACAAAGTGAACCAAGGGCAACATCTTATAGATAGCAGAGGGAAATTAACAATCTTAGAACTGCAGAACTGGAAGGGACTTAATGAATCATCAAGTTCTGCCCCTGTCAGAAAGGCATAGTGGGGAATTGATCTCCCAACCTCTGACTAAACCACTGCGCTACCCAGCAGTTCATAATGATAACATCCATGCTGGACCTGGTACAGTACCTTAAGGAAAGCAAATGCCCTGTTTGGAAGTGCTGTTAGTTTTGTCAAACGGGCTAACCACTCTAGCCCACAAAAGGAACAATCAACTTCCATAGTTCCATCATTAAGTGTCAAACGGGCTAACCACTCTAGCCCACACGATCATCAGGAACAATCAACTTCCATAATTCCATCATTAACGTCAATAATTCCACCAGTGACAAAGTTGCATTTCAATAATGTCTGGAGGCTCAAAGGTTCCTCATCCCTAAGCTTATAAAGCCCATCCTAGCCATGCATGAGCATATAGGATGCATTAAAAAATGCCCATATGGAATGCCTACCATGTTGGAATGCCCCAAGTTGGCAATTATTACAGTTTAGTTACCTATAAGTGATAGAGCACTGGATTCCAAGCACAGGAAGTCCATATGAATGTAACACCTTGTAACAGTTAGTTTCTGTATGGTTCCAGCTTTCAAATTCCTGAATGTTCATTCATGTGTTCAAAGCCTTGTCTATATTGTCTCTTGGTTCAGAGTGAAAAGAATGCACATTGAGCTGCCCTGCAAAACAGCATCCTGCTTTAAAATGGGGTTGGGTTTGCTTCATAACTTCTTTGCACTGAATTACGGCATAATTCGACAAAATAATAAATATGCTATGACATCCTACCTGTCTCCATAAAAGCTGGGCTGGAAGGGTCAGTAAGCAACATCTGCAGTACAATGTAGAAAAAGTTCTTGCCACTTTTGGAGGCCCACTAGTAGCTGCCAAAGGGACATGGGCCTGAAGCATGTTTATGGCCTCCCAGTTTCTAAGGCATGGTGTACACTTACTGCAGGATCCAGAAGGTGTAGACCAGTGGTTCTTAACCCTTTTGAATTAAGCAACATCTGCAGTACAATGTAGAAAAGTTCTTGCCACTTTTGGAGGCCTACTAGTAGCTGCCAAAGGGACATGGGCCAGAAGCATGTTCATGGCTTCCCAGTTTCTAGGGCATGGTGTACATTTACTGCAGGATCCAGAAGGAGTAGACCACAGCCACTGACACATACGTTCCCTAGTTGCTGTGAGGTGGCCCCCATCCCACCACTGATAAATCATTTGCTATGCATGACAAAAAAAGGCCCCAATCTCTAATATCACCATTTACATCACTATCCTTTGGATGACCTCAAACATTATACAAGAAGGCATGTGAGAACATTAAGAAGTTGTTTCCTATTCTCATGGACTTAGACTGGGTCTTACATAAACAATATGTGCATGTGCTATGCCAATTTTTTTTTAAATGCAAATGAACAATTGCTCTATCCTGTAATTGTTTTTCCAACCTAGCAGGTTGGGAGATTAGCAGATGGGCAGCAGAAATGGAAAATACAGTCAGTCCCTTGAATGTTAACGTCAGTGTTCTATTGCTAGCCCAATTGGACTCATTGACTCAATGGGATATATATAAATCCTGACTTACAATTAAGCATATCCAGTAGCAAGTCTCAACTAGAGTAGACCCACTGAATCAATGATATTTACAAAAAGGAGTTGACATTTATATAATATTTTAATGCAGCAAAATATGGAAGATGAAATTGTGAAGGATTGCATGGTAAAGTGGGCTCAAAATATAGGTCATAATATAGAACTAAGTACCTGGTCACAAATTTGGGAAAGAAATATTTAAATGACTAAATCTATAAATCTAAAAGAAAATATATACAGAATGTTTTACAGATTGTATGTAACACCAGGGAAATTAACAAAAATGTATAAAAATGTTTCTAATAAGTGTTGGAAAAGTGAAAAGAGGGAGCTTTTATCATATGTGGTGGACATGCAATAGAGCCAAGGACTTTTGGGAAATGATTTATGAAATGATAGTTAAAATTGCTTTGACACCAGAAATATTCTTATTGAATATATTACCAGCTACATTTGAAAAAAACAAAAACAAAACTTACTTGACCTTACACCTGATAACGGCAGCTAGAATTGTATATGCCAGTAAGTGGAAGACTACAAAGGTGCCAACAAAGAAGGAATTTATTGAGAAGATTCTGGAACTCTCAAAAATGGATATTTTGACAGATACACTAAATGACAGACTGGATAATAATAAATGGGAACCTCTTTATACCTGGATGAAATCTACACCAACTTAAGTAGAATAGATTAGATTAATATTTTGTTAGAGAGTATAAGACAAGATGAAATGAATGGAACATGTTGTAATAAATCACTCTGGTTACAACGGATAGAAAAGTAGAAAAAATGCAATAAAATGTTTTTTTAAATATATATATAAAGGAGTTGACTCACCAAATCTCCACCAATTCAATGGGATTATTCTAGTCTGATTTACTGCTGCCAAAGGGTCCGTAATAGCTGGGACTAATGGTGGGATGGAAGGCAAAATGGGTCCCCCCCCCCATTTATTCCCACACTGAAGTTTTGGTGTGGGGAAACTTCATCTCTCCTCAATACAAAATGTCCTTCTTTAACAGGGTGCAAATGTTTCAAATGAGCAACTCATTCTTGTTCAGTTAAACAGTCTTCAACAGTTTTTGGCAAGTTACAGTTCTGTGTGTATTGTAATAATGTGCAATGTCTGAATCGTGCAACTTCATCACTCTTCAGCCCCAACAAGTCGTTGTTGTTTAGTCGTTTAGTCATGTACAGCTCTTCATGGCCAAATGGACCAGAGCATGCTAGGCCCTCCTAACTTCCACTGCCTCCCGGAGTTGTGTCAAATTCATGTTGGTTGCTTCGATGACACTGTCCAACCATCTCATCCTCTGTCGTCCCCTTCTCCTCTTTCCTTCGCACTTTCCCAACATCAAGGTCTTTTCCA